AACCCAAGGAAGCAATATTACAGGTGATAAACCCAAGGAAGCAATGTAACAGTTGCTAAACCCAAGGAAGCAATATTACAGGTGCTAAACCCAAGGAAGCAGTATTACAGTTGTTAAACCCAAGGAAGCAGTTTTGCAGTGTGTAATACTGTAAAACCTGTCCAAACTGAACAGCACCAGGACCAATAATTCCTTCAGAATAAACATTTGGCATTGATCAAGTTTAAACAGGTTTTTAAGGCTTATTAAATATTACCGACCTAAGGTATGTTTCTTTACCTTGCAAATATCAGGTTCTGTGCAGTTTTGAAATACTTTGCTAGATTAATGTACAGATGAGCAAAGCCTGCACAGAAGCCACACCAAGGGGCATACAGCAAAACAAGCACATCCTGTGGATAAATAAAAACTATAAGTTATACAGAAAATAACACTGAATAATATTCAGAATCATATGATAATCAAAATATATATAATATTCATGTTCATTGTATGGTGTGTATGTTATTTATGAATAGACCCCAGAGAAAAAGTAATTATCATTCAAGTTTAATAACACTGAATATAATATGTTTATCATTATATATTTCATAAAATTATTTCTTTTACACATTTATTGCAGTTATATATATATATAACTACTTGATTGTATAAGTTCCCTACTTCCTTTACCAAACAGGGGCAACAAAGGGAATTTGAAGTAACTCCTCACCTTGTCTTGCTGTAGAATGATGTCTTGGAATGTATTGAATGTTGTTTCCCTGATACAGACACCAGCATTCTCCCCGTAACACGGATCCTGAAGAGTTCCTGACCGCAGATGTCTGTTTAGGTCACTGGAGGTATAATTTATTATAAACTGGGCTGCAATAGAAGAATACCTTCATGTCAGTCCTCTAGTCTGTACTGGTAACTTGTATGTTTCTAGAAGTAGACATATCTGCATATTTACAGCCACATAGGTCTTTTGAATGATAGATCCCTCTTTCACTGTCACCATAGTAAATATTCATTAGTTCTATATAAGTCTGATTTATCTCTTCTTTTATTTATTGGATTGATAGTCTTGTCAACAGTAAATGCATCTTTGGTAAATTTGGATTAAAAACTTCACACAACTCGGTTTGATAGTGTCCTTTCTAGTTTAGGTCTTCCTTCGACACATTATATAATAGTAATGTGTTAATTATATATAAAATAAGAGCAAGTTTTGTTTCCTGGCAGCAATATTTTTCATTTGAGTAAATGACTTGAAGCTCAAAACGTTATTTTTTTAAACTATGCAAAACTAGAGAACAGGAAGAATTGACTTATACACAAGAAATTTGACAAAATCCAAGCTGGCTGCCTGGAAGCTATCTTTTTCTTCATTAGTCTAAAAACGTAATATAACAATTTCAGACCAAGGGGAACCTTCATAAGAAATTTGAGAAAATTGAGTTAAGTACTTCTTGAACAGTATTAAGTTAAAGGGGCATCACGGTGAAGTAACTTTATTTTTTGTCTTTTTTTCAAATACTACATAAACATATCAAGTGAGACTCCTTATGGAAAATAACGATCGGATTTGGCTGAAATAGATTCATAAAAATGATTAAATCTAAGAAATCATCGGTATTTATACCTGTCTGACCAACGTTTGGTTCAGGGATTTCCCTCTACTAGCGCATGCGCATAGCACACCATTTCTTTGTAAACAAAATGACTGGCCGTGTGAAGTAAGCAAAAGAAAAGTGTTGTACCGTGTCAGCTACGAAATGAAAAGTTGACAAATGGTCAAAAGATAGCGCAAGGAGTACGTTACGGAATCATTATTGCAGGTGGGCAGTATTCAAAGGAGAAAATAACTGCCATATGAGTTAGTACGGTGCATGTATTCTTCTGGATAGCCGGTTAAGCTGAAATGGAATCGACAGAAATGCTAGCGCTGTTTATGTTATGAATAAATATCTAAAACTATAAAGCTCGCTAGTATCTTTGTCTGAGTTTGCACACAGATGAACTTAGTTTAATATGTTAATGGGCTAGTATTGGAGAGAGTTTACTTTGTGTTTCTATAATTATACAGTGGTTTATGCGAAAGGAAGGGATAAGTGACTGGTTAGTTTGATTTTTCCATGAGGCCCTCCAAGGGATAACTGTTGTGATGGCCCACGGCGTATTTTCTGGATCACCGAGATACGTGTTATCGAAGTCCGTTGATTTACATAATTTATGATATTACCGGGTTCAATAAAATGGTATGATTTAATTATATTGATGAATTTAACAATTATTTTTGTTTTTACATGCAAGATTTAAATTAGTACTAATATGAATACCCGGCCTCCTCTGCCCCGGCAACATATAAAAAAAAATCAGAAAGGTTTGTCCCTTGGTGTAGGGAAGGTGTTTAGCCACGTACCATCTGTACCGGCCACACTCCGGTACTAAATTCATTATATATTTAAATATATCTACTTTATGTTTATGCCTATTATCATTGTTGACATTTAAATGTAAATATATGATGGAAGAAGGCTGTGATAAATTGTAAAAACTTGTGCCCCATCCCTTGTTCAATTTTATTGGCAACAAATTTATGTTTAAAGCTAAATAAATTTAAATTCTGAATATTGGCAAGTGTGCAATTAACTTCTAATGATGAATAATTACTGTTCAATAAGTTTGAATACGGACTTAGAAATCATATAACTTGGTTTCATAGTGCGGTAAGAAGTTGCAGTTGCCTAACGGCCCCTCTCTGGGGGCCCCTTTGGAAACCGTTTCATCTCGCTCGCACCACTTGTGTTTACTGCCTAGTCAGGTGACGTTATCGGCGCTATTTTTAGCAGGGCTTTCCCGAACAATTCAAGTGGTCAAACTGGACATTTGGAACGGACTATGAATATGGGGATAGCG